CACTGAAGCCGGAGGAAATGATGAAAACCGAACGCCGGCTCCGTGATCCGCGCGGAACCTTTGCGCGGGGCTCCTCTTTGATGGTCTCAGCCCGAGTTGTTGATTATTGAATGAAAAGGCAAAAAAAACTATCAATCCACCCCTCCCTCCTCCCCATCACGTGCGGCTACTGGAAGGACAAATTGGGTGACAGTTGGCGAGTGGAGATGCATTTGTCATTCCAGCCGTGGGCGCTTGCCGACCCGGCAGCTTAAGGGACATAACGAGAACCATGGGAGAGGCGCGGCACCCCGGCCCTCCGCGAGCGGCACGCCGGAGCGGCGCGATCTCCACGGGCCGACTTGACGGCCAGGTCTCGCCGATCCGGGGGGGGGGGGGGGTGGTAATGGGGCTGGTGGGGGTGAAGGGGTGGCCCGGACGAAGCTGAACACGCGGAGGGAATACGGAAAGAAAATACAGATGAAGACGCAGAATTCGATGTGGTCTGGGTTTTTATTTCTGCTTTAAAGTGGCCGGGTTTCCTTGCCGACGTGCTCGGGGTGACGCGGGCACAGAGGGCCGTGTTTCTGGCCATGGCTCGGCTGTGCTCTGGCTCGGCCCCCCAGTACAGGTAGACCATACTTCACCACGCTGCTCAGCGCGGGTTGGTGAAGGGACCCGGGGACCAGTTCAGATGTAACTCGCCACCAATGTTAACAGCCATGGCTGTGAATTGAACCCAGGTTGCTGAGTTCGTAAGCGTAGTGCCCAAATCACCGTGCCATCGCACCACCCTGTACTTTCCATTGCTTGAGGCCCGGTAGACAGTAATGGAGCCCGTTTCTCCCGGAAGCTCGCCCTAAAAATATGTTCACATCGCTGGAATTAAAACAATTGCACGAGGTGTCAGGTAGGACACCGTCGATAGGTTACTCATTTGCTCCTGCTCGTGTGTGGCCACACTTCACCACGCTAGTCGGTGTGGGTTGGTGCACACGGTGGAGCATTGTGCAGCCAGTACCGGCTCAGAAAACGCTCACGGGGGTTCGTGGCACGGTGCGCGCTGCCCGCTGCGCCACCGCTCCGCTGCGCTGTCTGGCCGGACGCGGGGAGAAATTGAATCTGCCATGACTAATCGCCAGTGGGCACAACCCGCAAGTGCGGGCGCGGATCAAGTCACCCCGTCTGCGTCCTCAAAAATTCGCACAATGGGCGCGATGAGCGCGGGGCAATTAAAGCGGCGGGCGCGGTTTTTTGTTTTGTTCGCGCCTCCTCCAAAGGGCAGAGTCGCCCACCCCCCCCCCCCCCCGCGCCCCCCCTCCTCGCGGTCGAAACACCGACCGCGTCAAATCTGCACGACGCAAAAACGAAAAAAACCTTTCGGTCGTATCCCCCCCCACCCCCACCTCCACCTCGTCCCAGGAGTCCCACCGCCACACCTGTCGGTGACCCGCAAGCAGCAAAACCTTTCTCTAGCGACGACGGCGGCGCAACGCCGTGGGGGGGGGAGGGGGGTCGCTTTGTTACCCCCCACGGCGGCCCCCCGCGAGCCGCCGGATGTCATCGTCGTCACCGCCGGCGGGGATGGGAGCGAGGGCGCGCTTGCCAAGTTTGCAATCGAGCGGAGGTTTTTCTTTCGGTCACGACCGACAAAACCGTGGCGTCGTGGTAGCGCGCAGGGAGAAACTAACGCCCGTGGAGCGCCGGCTTCAGACATTTTAGCGTTTCCTTTAAAGGTTGCCCCATTAAGGCATTTGCCGACAAAAAAGATTGATTTCCGAAGGGAAGGGACAAAGAGAGCAAGCGAAAAAAAAATAAAGTGAAGCCCTGTAACCGTATGAGTGGGAGAAGGTAGCTCTTTTTCAGAAGCGACCACAAACGATTGCTCGACAACGCAGTGGCTTATCGCGTAGGCAATTTAAAGCAACGTTTCTCAATGTGGAGGGAAAAACCGGAGGACTCGGAGAGAAATCCACGCGGCCACAGGAAGCAAGAGAGAGAGAGCGAGAGAGCGAACATGCAATCTCCAAATACACAGCAGGCGTCATGCTCGGGATCGAACCCACAACAATAAACAACAACGACGACGACAACAACAACAACGGCGACCGCTCCGTGCCGAGTCTCATCGAGCGGCACTGGGCGTGTGCAGCGCACGGCCAAGTAAAGCGGTGAGGGTGGCCGCCCTCATTGCCTTGTTTCCCTGGGATGCCGTTGTTGTTTATCCCCCCCCCACCAACCCCCACCCACCGCCCCACCCACGCGCCACCGCCGTTTGTTCCACGGCGCCGCCGTTGTTTTGGCCCTCAGCTGCACTCCTCCACCTGGCCCCTACCCCAGATGTGTGGTGCCTCGCCCCCCACCCACCACCCCAACCTGCCATCGGGGGCCCCGAAGCGTGAATTATAAAAGCCCGGTGAGATGTAGATGTGGCGAGATTAGAGGAATGTAAACACACGTGTAGATGTTGAGCGAGATGACGTGAGATGCGGGCTAGATAGAGATGTGAGAGATTAATTGGCTTTTTATGTTAATTAGCTCGTTATGTTTGATTAGGATTTGAAGTTGGGACTGGCGTTTTGATGCGCCCGTTTTGTTTAATGAATCTGGAGCCCCCCCCCCCCACCCCCGCGCTGCTTGGGTAACCCTTATCTGTCGCTCGGTTGGTCTACGCCCGGCGCCCCCGCCGACGCTAAACCCGGGCTGCCCCCCTATTGATGATGACTTGGGCCCTTCGTTGCGTTTCATGGCAGCACAGTGGCAGTGGGGGTGGCGGTTGGGGTGGCGGTGGCGGTGGTGGTCGAGGTGGGGGTCGAGGTGGGGGTTGTGGGGGGGTGAGAATCCACGATACAGCTTCCTAGGGGGGGGGGCACTTCACAGATCCTGTCCGTCCAGGAGCAGGACTTGAAAAACCGTGCCCCGCCCCCAGCCCCACCCTTCCCCCACCCATCACCCTCCCCACCTCCCCCACCTCGAGGGGCCAACCTTCCGCCAGTGCCGGCTCTTTGAAGACGCATTGATATGCACGGTGGGGGCGAGCGATTTAAATGTAGGCCGTGCAGCTGGCTCAACGGGCCTCACGATTATTATTCGCCAATTTATTATTTATTTACCTACTCACTGGTAACGCTCGTTTAAAGGATTTGTTTCGATGAGCGCAGCGCCCGTCGTTTGTATATTCACTTGCGTGTAAATCTTTATATTCTTTCCTGTATTGACGTCTATTAATTTTGAATCGCGTGAAAAAAATATATACGAACGTGTCATCGTCTCCTGAAATGTTCACATTCCGGCGGATGAGATTGTGCCTGCCGCTGCGATTCCGCTCACAAGTCCCCAGGCCTCGCAATCCCACGCTTCGCTTTCCGCTCGCAATCCCAAGGTTCACTTCCCAGCGGGCTTGCCCGACCCACCGCCACCGACTCAACGCTTCCGCGCCTCGCGCCGTGCCCGTGTGCCCAGCGGCTGACCGGCTTACAGAGCAGGGAATCGATTTGCAGATTGCACATGGCGATGGGGTAAATGGTGAACAACCCCTCGGCTCTTCCCGCCTCTCTGCTGCCAGCATGAGAAATGAGTCCGCGGGCAGTGTCGGACGGGGCAGACTGGGGCCTGCTGGGCCAGCACGTGGCAGAACTGCCCATTGCTGAAGATTAATTTTCTCTCCGTCCTGCCGATTATTTTACAACCGTTGCGACCGCTGTTGCTCGATGAGACGGAGACGTTTCCATTCGCAGCTCTTGCAGATTTGCGGCAGCGCACCGCCCCGTGTCCCACTGCATGGCCCCCAGAAGGTGGCGTCAGGGGGTCATGTCAAGAGCCCTCTTGAGCCGCACGAGAGGAAAATATTTCCTACGTTCGGCAAAGATTGTTCGTCGCTTGTTAACGAAATCAAACTGGTTTAACTCTCAACGCTGGAACCTAGTGTGTGACCTAGATGGGCCAAGCTGGGTATGACACTGCTTTACAGTGATGTTAATTGTAATATAAACTTTTTACTGCACAATTATATTGTCGAGGCCAGTGGCTCCCAACCTACGGATATTCTGTCCTTCATGGCGGGACACGAAAGTAGTTTGAGGGTCGAGAGTGCCTACGTAGTGAAGTATATTGAGTCACTGTGGTGTTAGCACTAGCCACTGTGAGAAGACTGTAACTGTGCGTCTTAGGGCCTCTCTCTGTCACCAGAGTATGTATGGCATACGGGACAGGCTGGGTGAACCCGAGAGGGCACGTGACCAGGAGAGGATAAGGATGGGGGCTGGACGGGGACCGAGGGGACATGTAATGTGAGGTCCCAGAACCTTCTGGGAAGATCTCGAAGGGGGCGTGGCCAAGGGCGGAGCACAGCCACGCTCAGGGGATAAGAAGGGGGTCTTGTGAACCGAACGGGGCTGTTCTCTGGAATCAACCCTCGATGCTACGTCTCTTCAATCTTCCGTCTCTGCTTGGCATCGTGGGTCAGTCAGGCCGTTACTGACTGACCCGGTTATGTAGTTACCCCGCTAAAGTACCCTATTAGGCTCTAGAGTGTATGTTTACGTGGTTAGCCCCGTTGGGCTGTGTAATAAACGTATTGCCTCCAAGTTAGAAGTGTCTGCCTCCGTGGAACACACTACACACACAAACGTTTGGCAGGCATCCACACACGGGTTGACGCCAAACACTGATCAGACTGGGCCCGAATTCATCGGCTTTTTTTCATCTTCCCGTGGGGCCGATATAAAGCAACCGATCAGATGTTAAAATTAAGGTTGATTAGCTACTGAATTGCGACATCCTGAGGCCTTGTGGAGCGCTGGCACGCCTCCTCCTCCTCCTCCTCCTCCTCCCAACCGTGCACGGGGCAGCGCACCGACCACGCTCAGAACGTGGCCATGGGCAATGCGAAACAAAATCCTGGGCCGTATGCACCGGCGGCAGTGACAGGGGTACGTTGAACCACCAGCGGGCACTCGCTGTAAAGGGGAAAGCAAACGAGCGGAGAGGGCAGCGGAGGAATCGCGAGTCGGCGCGCTCACCAGCTCGAGGCCGTTCTTGCGTAGACGGCGGCACGACTTGAGGTAGGTGCGGATGCGCTTGCGGGCTCGCTCCTGAAACTCGGGGAACTGGCGGTGGCACGACTCGAGGATGGCCTGCACCTTCTCCTTGGGCTGCTTGGAGATGGGCACCATGCGGTCCAGGTTCTCGTCCACAAAGAGACGGACGAACATCTGTGGCGGTGGCAAGCAGAGCAACCCCGCAACGCTTAGCCTCGCGCCAGGAAAATCCACGCGACCACAGGGAGGGAGAGACACGCAAACTCAAATATACAGCAGGCGTGGGGGGTTCGGGATCGAACACACGACGTCCTCCTAGCCACTGCAGCGCCCACAATATAGCGGGACCCTCCTCAAAAAGAGCCTTGAGACTCAGATGCTCTCCTGGCTAAGGACTATCATTGTCATTATGATTTGACAGCTGAAGGAGGGAACGCGCCCAAGGGGACATCCACTGTGGAGATGGAATCAGCTCCGACGCAGGCCGCTCGGATTTTTTTTGGCATCGCAGGACCGTGAGAGATGAGGGCAAAGCAGGGGGGAGCCTTCATCCAGCAGTGGATTGACCCTGGGCCGACGAGGACGACGATTATTTGTTTTGCTGATCTCTGCGGACGGTGCAAAGTGGGGCGCCCTCCACGAGGTTCATCGTCGCTGGGTGCGGCGACGGCGCCGTCCTCCCGCACGTCCTCCCGCACGCCCTCCCGCACGCCCTCCCGCACGCCCTCCCGCACGCCCGCCGACGCGGCTCCCAGCCCGACATCTTGTGCTAATTACGTTAATTGGACCGTACCCCAATTAAGCGGCGCGCGTGCAGATACGAGGACCGGCACGCACGCGGCAGACAGGGTCGCTCGGTGCGGGCTTCCGGCGGAGCGGTGGCGGATCGGGGGGGTGGGGGGGGGGACATGGGGGGCCATCTCCCCCCCTTGAGACCCCCAAGAATTGGTATTTTATTGATATTTACCAGAGGAGATACAATTAAGGCTTTATTTTTCTATTAATATTGGGCCCGATTGAACAAGCTTGAAATAGTTTAACACGTAGGCTTTCGCGACCAATATCATCCATAAGAGGTTTTTTTTTTAGTACGTTGACTCATTAATCCCCCCCCCCCCGCCCCACTTTGCGCAAGAGCGCAGAAGTGTGGCCACCACATCTACGCCTCTATATAAGGAGCGAAACAGGTGGACTTCTCTACAAATCTGGCTGTCGCCTGATGAAGCTAGTTGTACTTACTGGCGAAACGTCGTACTCGGATTGTAAATGTTGTGGCTTGGCTCTCCAACACACCGGTGTGCTGTACTAGTATACTACACTATACACTACATTATACACTATACACTACACTATACACTAGTGCTGTACTAGTGACGAACTGGCCACGTTCTGTTTACGTGACAACCCTTACTATTCATAATAAAGGCTACTAACTAGTTGGCTGTGTCGGGTGGTGGCGGGTTTTAACGACACATTTATACATTTTACGCGATCTAACCCAAAAAAAATATGTAAAACCTCTATCAAGCTTGAAATATCCAGACCCCCCCCCCCCGGCCCCCCGCACCCTCGCGGGAAGTTTCGAGACGCGTCTCTGCTGTGCCACGGCGGGGAGGATTCAGGCGATGTTTGAGAAAACGACTGAAGGCGGCCCAGCGGGACGGGCCGACTGCCGCGCCGCAAGTGCCACGGGGGCGGACGGCACCAACACCGGAGCGGCGGCTAAACATCAACGTGATCGTCGCGATCCATGGGGGGCGGAGAGGCCCTAAGGTGTCCACTGCACAGTTCGTCATTTGTTTCCGCTTACCTCTGCCTTGTGCCAATATGCTCAAACAGTGGCCACATCTTTCTGGCACCGAGCTCTTCTGATGTCGTCGTCAAGACATCCTCTGTGAGCAGGGGTGGAGCCAGGATTTTTACTTTGGGGGGTGGGGGGCTGACGTCAATATTCTGAGATATCCAGTGTTTATGTTTTCCAATGGGCGCCACAAATGTATAAAACACATTTTATTGGATTTGAACGCGGAGTTTATTAATAGGTCGGAGCCGCTGATGTGGTTAATAAGTTAGATAAGCTCGAAAGACTGCCGCTCAAGCGGCCTGCAGGGCAGCACGAGGTGGCAGCCTGCAGGGCAGCACAAGGTAGCAGCCTGCAGGGCAGCACACAAGGTGGCAGCCTGCAGGGCAGCACACAAGGTGGCAGCAGCCTGCAGGGCAGCACACAAGGTGGCAGCCTGCAGGGCAGCACAACGTTGCAGCCTGCAGGGCAGCACACAAGGTGGCAGCCTGCAGGGCAGCACGAGGTGGCAGCCTGCAGGGCAGCACACAAGGTGGCAGCCTGCAGGGCAGCACACAAGGTGGCAGCCTGCAGGGCAGCACGGAGTGGCAGCCTGCAGGGCAGCACACAAGGTGGCAGCCTGCAGGGCAGCACAAGGTGGCAGCCTGCAGGGCAGCACACAAGGTGGCAGCCTGCAGGGCAGCACAAGGTGGCAGCCTGCAGGGCAGCACAAGGTGGCAGCCTGCAGGGCAGCACAAGGTGGCAGCCTGCAGGGCAGCACACAAGGTGGCAGCCTGCAGGGCAGCCCAAGGTGGCAGCCTGCAGGGCAGCACGAGGTGGCAGCCTGCAGGGCAGCACAAGGTGGCAGCCAGCAGCATTTTGCAGCAGCCGGATTTCCGGTTATCCCGATTACCGACTTTCCCAAAATTTCAGGGGGGGCTAAGCCCCCCTTCCAGCCCCCCCTGTGGCTCCACCCCTGTCTGTGAGGTCTTCCTCTCTTTCCGGTTCCTTCCATTTTTTCCGAAGAATAACACCCTTTTACATTTTCCTGGCACTGGGTGCTAAACAAAGCCCTGACTAAACAGCGGTTACGGGACGCTGCTACGCACACGCACGCACGCACGGCGTTAATTAGCCTCTAGCATTGTCCAGTACGCAAGTTGGAGACATCGTAGCGACTGCTCAGAACGTTACGTGGGCTTGGGGCTGGGCACGGCGCTGGAAGAGACGATGGCCGAAGATCGCGAGAATAGCAAAGGAGACTCAGCCAGGAGGGAACGCGCCACGGATAAAAACGAAAACAATAACAAATAGAACGTCCGCTGTGGAGATGGGGCAATGGAAGTGTCTTGCATGCAGAAGTTAGAGTCGTGAGACAGATCCTTGCTTGGCGAAACTGAGAGATGATGAAGTTTTTTCGCACCGTACGTAGCCAACCGCACTAATCGGAGGTGCTGGGGAAGGACAACAAACTAAGCACAAACAGCAGTTGTAAAGAAATTACTTTTCAATCTAGGGTGATTTAATATCGGAAGGAAGAGCGTTCCAGACGGCCACAGAAGTGCATCTTAAAGCGCCGCGCGATGCGGCGACCAAGGAGGCCCCCACCCAGCAGTGGGTAAAACACGATGACGATGGTGTCATGTACACAACTTGCAGTGGTGTCCTCCGGCGAGTGTGTGAATCCACGGGCAGCGCTGAGTGACTGCGCATTCATCTGCTACCGTGAAGGCGTTTCCATACGTGGCTCCATAATCTTTAATTCGCTGGGGAGTGTGCGCATTGAAACTGTGAACGCGTGGCTTTTAAAGCGCGTGCAACTTCCCCCGTTTAACCACAGCAAAGCCAAGGTCCTTGCTTTCACGCGGGGTAATAAATCTCTCTGCGTTCTCGGCCGGTGAATAGACGGTGAATTGAACGCGTTAATGAAGCCGCGCAAGGAAATCAACGCCCGCTTTACCAAGAAATTAATGGCACTAAAAGCGTGGCTCTAATCACGGAACGAAATGAAACATTCCCAAAGCTGAATTAATTGTGAGAAAAAAGCGTAAAATAAATTTAAGAAAAAAATAAACGTTGAAAATAAATAATTATCCCGGGTCGCGTCCGGTGTGGCGTGCGGCCAAGGCTAAGAAAAGACCACAGGTAGCTGCAGATAACACTTTATTTAAATTAAGCTCCCCGTTTAACGAGAGGAGAGAGCGGAGGCGGCGACAGTGGAAGAGGGGAGCGGGCGAGCGAGGGGCAGATTACCGCACGGCTCCCCTGATGCGTGCGGAGCAGCGACACAATTAAGCCACGTTCGATGGGCGCGCGGAGAGATGGCACGGCGGCGGCGGCGGAGGCCACGCGGCTCATTTCCATCCCAATAATTTGCCAGCCTTCCTCACTGATAAGGGTGATAGACGGCTGGTGTAAAAAAAAACATTTTTCCTTTGTGCCTCTAAAACCACCACCACCACCACCTCCCCGCCCCTCCTTGCCACCTCACCCCCTCCACCCCCCGCCCCTCCATCTCCTCTCCCCCCTCAATCCCCACGCTGTCGTCTCCTCGCTCGTCCGCAGCAGCAACTCCCCCCACCCTCCCCGGCCGCCCCCGGCCCAGCCACCCGCTCTCCTCCCCCTCCACCCCCATCTCTCCCTCTCCCCCCCCTCTCTCTCGCCACCCATCCCGCGACGATGCAGCTCCTTTCTAATTTCCGCCGCGCGGCTCCCGGGGGCTGCAGCCGATGCTGTCGCCCGCGCCGCGAATCGCCGCCGCCGCCGCCACCGCTCGGAGCTCGCTCCGAGAGAGTGGGAAAGTGAAAATTTCCGCCCGGCCGTTTTGTGCTAAAGTGTTTGTGGAGGCGTCCTGCGGCGTAGCTGGCGTGCGTGCGACGCGCACGCAAGCTACGCCGGGACGCTCGGGTGTCCGTCCTGACGGCACGCGAGCGTGGCGCGCCACAAGCGAGCGTCCGTACGTGCCGCGCCGCAGTCGATAGGGGCCGTTGGGAATCCATGATTGTTGTTGTGGCTTCATTCTTCTTGCTACGTTATTATTTTTATTATTTTTTCTGTGTCAAGGCGAGCGATGGAATAAACAGCACGGGGGGGGGGTGGAAAGGAAGGCATCTGAAATCAAAGAACGAGGATTGGAAAGGAAGGGAAACGGGGGTGGCGTCGTGTTCAGTGACGAAAAAGAGGAGTGAGGAGGTGGGATTGCAATGACGCTGGGTTAGGAATGCGTGGCACGTTAAGGGACGTGGGAGGTAACGTTCATCCTCCTCTGCTGCACCCCACCCCCCCCGCCCTGCCCCCATAGTCTGGAACTTCCATCCCCCAGCCATCCGTGCCGCCGACAGCCTGCTCCTGGCGCCGTAACGGTCACCCCGTTGGGGGAACTCGATGGGGAAGGGGCGGGTGGGGAAGGGGCGGGCGACTCACGTTGAAGGCCTTGAGCCTCTCGGGGTCGGCGCCCTCGACGTCGCCCATCCTCTCCGCGTCCTCGTCGTGCTCGTCGTCGTCATCGTCCCCGCCGCGCACGGGCGACGCGTCGTCCGCCACCGCGGCCACCGCGGCCACCGCCTCCCGGCGACGCAGCTCGTATCCGGCCGCCACCACCGCCACAGCAGCCGCGGCCGCCACTACGCCCCTGTGCGGGGACTGAGGGAGGAACGCGGGCATGGGGGCGGCACGTCATCATCGTCATCATCAATCATCGCCAGTCACGATCGATGCACTATGGGACGGAGGCCTCTCCAAGCCGTGGAGCTTCGCCCAAGGTCCCGGCGATGCAAGGACCCGGCCTTGAGGTCCACCTGTCCCCGACCGTGCGCTGGGTCGTCGCGGGCAGGGCTGGCACGCTACTGGGGGGCCATGTCGGGAAACGCCGGTGATGGATGGGGTGGGGGGGGGGCAAAGACAAAGATATTCCAGCCTTTAACGGAGTGTATGGAGCAAGCGCCATTGGCGAGCGCCTATGAAGGCTGGCACGTCTCCCACGTGGCGATATTTACGCACTGCACAAGGTACTCATTTGAGGCTGAGTCGACCTGGGGGAGGCCCAAGAACGGTTCGGATGATCGTCACTGGTCGTGGCCGTGAGCGTAGTGCTGATCGCTGCACCACCGTTCCCCACAAGATGGGGGAAACGCGTGCACACGGTCGCACCCGTGGTAGAACGGACACGGCGTCCCGCGACTGACGACGAAGCTCAGGACGACGACGACGGCGGCATTATCTTTAGTTGAATTCCACCACACTCAGCTGAGCAGCAAACAGGTGGTACGGCAGAAATCATTTGCCAGGACGGAGAGGGAACTGGGGAGCCTGGAGGCTAAAAATAAACTTATTGACCCATTTTACGGAGAAGTGAAATGGTGTCCCGACCGCGACCTGCACAGGGGAGGCTGTTGGGGGCCCTCGCGAAATAAAATCAAAACGGCGATAGGGGCGCGTCGCGTGTTCACACGCGTGGCTGGGAACACAGGGGCTCGGCTTGCTCCCCGGGCCACGCTGCCTCTCACACGCCCGACGTTGTCATTAGCGGACAACGTTCACGTGCATTAATGAGAATATAAAACATTATTTGCAACCATTTGTCAATCCACCGCTTGCAACGTATGCCTCCTCCCCGTGCCGTGTCTGTTACGGGGGGGGGCGGGGGGGGGGTTGCTTTAGGGGCCATCCATTTAGTGATTTAGTAGGTACGCAAAAATCTGTCAAGACTTGACCCCTCCCCCCCCCCTGCCCGAATCCTATGGAATGGCCGATATTTAATCTACGTAGAAACAATCAAGGATTAAAAATATTCACGTGTTTACTTCCTATGCGTACGTACATAGTAAGTAGACCCCCCCCCATACGCAAGCGTACGCATTTGGGTGAACCCCCCCACCCTCCATGCGTATGTGTAGTGATGGTAGCATCACTACTGTGTACACACGCACAAGTGTGACGTCACTATGCGGGGGAGCGTCACGACCACGCGGGTCTACACACACACACACACGACGTCATCCCAGCTGGAGGCGGGAATGACGTCAGGGCCGGTTCTGGACTCGGGAGGCCACGAGGGTGGTGTGAGGTCGTGGCACTCTCTGTGACCCCGGCTGGACACATGACTGGACCCCAGTGGGGGCCGGGGGCCTAGGGGGCACCTCGGGGGGCACGTGGACAGCAGGGGGGGGGCTTCGAGATGGTTCTCGAAGGGAGGAGTGGCCGGGGTGGGGCCCGGTCACGCCGAGGCCCATATAAGCAGCCCCCTCACGAGGTTCGAGGCTGCAGCTCGTACCAAGAATGAAGATGCATCGTGAAGACGCCAAGAAGAGATCGGTGTGTAGGTCCCAGCCGGAGGACTCTAGGATAGCGGTAGACGTGTGAGTAAGTCCCGCCAAGACAGGAGGCTGTACCTCCCTAGAGTATCTGAGAAGTGTGTGTTAGCTAGAGTAAGTCGCGTGATGTAAGAGTTAACTGTTGTGTTCATTAATAAATAAGTGTTGCCTCCCAAGAAGTTGTGTGTGCACCTGATTCGAATCCACTACATATGTACTAAATGGATGGCCCCTTATACCGTACTTCACCACCCTGGTCAGTCAGCGCGGGGTGGTGAAAGGTTGGCCCGGCAACGATCGCTTTGGACGTCGCTCGCCACTGCCACAGATCCCCAGTGGTTGCTTGGTGAGCCAGGGGCGAGGTGGCGGTGCCGAGGTAACCGCTCACGTCGAGGACCCTCGCAATGTCGACGACTCCGCCGGGGGTGCTGACCGCGCGCGCAGTTCGTGCATTTCATCGGAAATTTCAACGGACTCTCGAAAAGAGCTTCTCGGCAGGATTACTTAACCCCGACCTCTTTAATTGTCACAAATTGGGGATGACGATTTAAGCGTGGCCACCATTGTTGTGATGAATGTACAGCGATGCCTCTAAGTGGCTGCAGGGGTGAGTGAACCAACTGCACAAGACGTGTAAGTGTGCAAGTTAAAATAATAAATTGTCATCCGCAACATTCCATTCGTGTGTCCATTTTCATTCTACTCAGTGCATTATTTTATGCCTCTTACTTGTAAAGTAAAATTGCGCGCCACAGTGCTCTCTCACACAGGGCTATGAAACCGGCGACCTGAATTCCATTCCCGACCACGGCCAACATCACTGGTGAGTGATCCAAACCAGTTGTGGGCCCCATTTCACCATCCCAGTGCTGACCAGCATGATGAAGTACGGTCAAGCAATCCCCACAACTGCCACGGCACCAGGGAGACCTTCATCCAGCACGCGCGGCTCTCCCCAAATCCATCCGCGAATAAATTCGGCTCGTCGCGCCGTGGCTGGGAAGTGAAACTGGAGGTCCCGTTCTCCCGAATCAATCGCGCAATTCCCGTGGATGCGTCGCCGCGGCCTCATCGACCGCGGCGGCACCCCCATCCCTCTCAGTCAGGCGGCGCGCGCGAGCGATTCCGCGGAGGGGCTTTGTCACCGTCGCCCGGTGCTGCCACGGGACCGATAAATGGGTCAGAGGCGCCGGCGTGGCGCGATGTCACCACCCCACCCCACCGCGTTCGCAAAAAACCACGCCCCCAAATACCACGGCCGACAGGAGGAGCACGAAATCAAAGCGCCTTACTCGGCTGGAAACGTTGACAGCGCAGCCGGCCAATCGCGGATTCCTCCCCACGGCCGCGTGCTGCGGCGGCGGACGCGTGGGTTTGTGGAACGGCTCGTGGCCTCTGCTGCTGCGCGCAGAATCTTAAGGCCTTAGAACACCGGCATGTTTTTTTTTTGCATGCGGAAGCGTGTTTCCGCACTGCGCGGCTTTTTTGTCTTTTTTCGCGATGTGTCGTGAAGTGTCCGGTCGGAACTACCGCACAGCAATGCAACCCCACGTGACAAGAGAGCGGCCCGCAGAAGGAAATATTACAGATCTAGTTCTGAGATCACGTTCAGTGATTTTTCTTTATTTACGCGCGACACTTTCTCCCATGCTCTGCAAGAGAAAATAGTTCGTCGCGTAGCGGTCAACTCGATATTTTTTAAAAGTTAAAATCTTAATGCAATGTTAATGTGACGTCAGAGGATTCCCGAGCATGTGACTCCTGAAAAGCAATGACCAGCGGCAGCCAGCTGCATTGATTATAGGATGTGAATGAGGTCTCCTAAAGCCACGCGTCCTACAGCTTCCTGTAAACTGCCCGATGCGGTGCAAGAGGAAGACGCATTGTCAACCACGAATGAGGATAATAATTTGCATCCTCACATTTGAAGACGCTCAGGAATTCCGGGCTGGGTTTGTCCTTTCCTGAGGACACACCAGCGTAGCCCGCGACACAAAAAAACTCTACGCAGCAGTTCATTCTGTAAGACGATGCACATTTCTCAGCAATTGTTCGTCACCGCCAGTTTATAATTCACGCACCACACTATTGGATTTGCTGTGAACCTCACTTGGACTTCCGAAAAAATCGCAGCAGCCAGCGTAAGAGCCACGTGGAGCCGAACGTGTGCGGCTAAGCAAGACTCAGGCGTGCGCGGGCGAGCGTGTCACCGTGGGCGAGCGTGTCACCGTGAGAGTCGGTGCCTGTACAGGGATGGAACAATGGGCTTTGGCCATTTCCCAGGCGATTGTGTTGGTGTGGGGCCAGGCAGCGGAGAGAGGGCACCTCGTAGGCAGGTGGAGGCACGGAGCCCTGGCTCCATCTCCGTGGCGAGCGTTACGTCCAATTGGCTGCCGTCAACCTGGGGGGGGTGGGGGGCGCCCCACCGCAAATTGCTGCCGCGAGCAACGCTCTCAATGCACGTGGCCGACTTCAGATGCGGCACAGTGGGAGAGCGGTGGCGCTGTGAGCCCGGCCGCCCCCGAGTTCAATTCTCAGCCACGGCTGGCATCAATGACGCGTTGCATCCGAACCACTCCTAGCCCCAACCCTCCTCCCCAACTTGCGCTGACAGGCGTGGTGAAGTATGGTCTCAAACAACCTCCATTACCGGCACTCCGTGGGAAGGTCTGCATCCAATGGTGGGCTGTAAACGTGGGCACATCAGCTCCGTATATTCCTGCCCGGAGCATTGCGCCGTTGCCAAAAAAAACCTGCCCTTGGCAGACTCAAACATGCACGGTACACACACTCCTCCCTCCCTCTCTCTCTGTGTCTCTCTCATGTTCTCTCTTCCCCACCACCACCACCCAGCCCCGGCTCAGTGCCACATCACCCACCCCCTCATCCACCCTAACACCCACACTCCCCATCCCTCCGCACCCCATCCCTAACCCGTGCCTCCCCATCCACCCGGCCCCATTTACGCTGCCTCCACCACACCCCACCCCACCCTGCGCCACCCCCCGCGACGCTCGCCTGAGAAGCCGATGATTAAAAGCCGAGGCGAGGCGCTGACTGTGTCAGTGACCCCCACCCCCTGCCAGCCCGAACCGAATTACGGCCACACCTCAGCACGCCGAGCCGGCAACAGCAGCGGCGGCGACGGCGGCAGGCCTCGTGTTAATTTGATTAAAGCTCAGCCAAGCCGGCCTCATCTCCACGGCTGCACACGCTTCTATTCACGCACGCTCAGTATGTGTGCAGCAGCAGCAGCAAAAAAAAGACAATTGAAAAAAAATTAAGTTTGTTCAAGATTGTTGGGCTGAGAGGCCTTAGGAATCCATCTGT